GAGTCACTGTCCCAAATATCTTCCCTTCGACGACGAGTCCGCGCGAGACTGACGTTGGAGTTTTGGGTGGACATTCGGTATTACACTCATTCGTGTTAGCAGCAGCAGCACTGCAAGGCGTTAGAACTGGTGCACTCGTTGTATCATCCATTAACGAGAACAAATCTCTCACAGATGCCACCCCTTGACGTAGAACAGGACCGACTCCATCGTCCATCATAAAATCATCTCTAGTTGATTCCGGATTGACTCGACGTGACATCAGATACACACGCTCGGTCTCTGCTGATTTTGTTTTAAGCGATCTGATGTTTCTGACTGCCGTGACTTCCTTCGCAGCAGAAGAAGACGGTAAAGATTTTGGTCGAATGGCTTGTTTCATGTTTGACAATGCCATGTGAGATGCGATTGACTCTGATGACACAATAACTGTTTGACCGTTTATGTCACTCGCTAAGTCTCCTGATTTCATTCCATTGATCATTGTTCCTTTTTCTGAAGGCAGCAAGACACCCACGATGGAATTTGGCGATTGGGACTTCCACTGATTGGCGATGAATTTGGGTGTCCGAAGCAATCCCACCACTCTATGTTGGTTGATTGGCAAAACGGGCTGGGATTCATTCTCATCAAGGACCATCAACGAATCCGTTAACAGCAGGTCCACAGCCCTCCTGCTGATAACGCAGATTGTAACATCTTAGTCCTGAACACGCCTCCCATGCATTACAGGCTGTCGGACCGTTTGCTGTCGTCACTGATGGATGCTCCTGTCCATTTTTTCTTTCAACTTGCTGCAATTCTCAGCAAACTACAGATTGTTAATCCTTGTTACTGCGGAGTGTGTGATACAACTTTGTTGAAGTCGACGACCTTATTCTTCGGTAGTCTGTGTTGTCAACACATAGATGCATCACCCCTTCTTCGACAGCTACTATTATCACTATGGACGCGTTGTCCGCCAATTTCCTTTACAGACAACGCCGTCGACTTAGCAACGTCGACGCGTATTTTCCGAACGCTAAGCGTTCCAAGCTGAATGTCGCCAGCGACTATCTCGGACAAACTCAGGTTCTGCCCACCTTTGATAGTTCAACATACTCGTTCACTGGAACCAGCTCCTTCGAGAGGCATTTCCCTCTTGGTCCCTCAAATCCAATTTCGTTTGGGATAGAATCAAAATGTCATGCGATTCCACACCCCAATCCACCTTCTCCAAATATGTGTTCGTATGCACCTCAAACTCAAACTCATGATCCGTCTTTATATTGTCAGCAAACCAACTGGGTCACTTCTGTTCCTTATTCTACAACGAAGTGTTACTCAAGCTCCCAATCAAACTCAATAACGTCATCTCCTTCATCATTTTCTCCTTGCAGTATTCCAGACGTTCTTGATGACACACAGAGTCATCAACAATCCCACCAAGCATCCACAATGTCCCAATGTCCACTCTCCTCCAAGTGCCACGATTACGTTTTCAACTCTCTTGTAAATCCTCTTGATCCCTCGAATGCCATTATCCCAAGCATCATTGTTCCTACCTGTCTTGTCCCATCCCCTGATGTCCCATATCCGAGTGACCCGCTTCATTCCGTCCACTGTTTCTCCAATCCCTCCATATTCCATCCTACCGGCTCTTCTAACTACTCCGCTTTCGATTCTTTGGGAGTGTCAAGTTCCTTGTCCCCCCAGACCCAGGCGTCGATTCTGTATGGACTCCTCCCCACTTTCGTGGACCATGCATCCATTCCGCAAACAAATTCTACAATCTCTTCTCGAAGTACGTCGTCCTTGCTATCAAGCTTCACCTCATGGGACGAGGCATCCGATTGCGAAGAGAATCATGAAGATAATTACGAAGATAATTATGAAGATAATTGTGGAGATGATTACGAATGCGATGATAAAGATAAATCCTTCAACTCAGATGGAGTGAGTCTGTGTGCAGAGGACAGCCCCAGCTCTCCAATTTCGTATCCCACTTCACATGTTCCTGTTTTTGATGTCGGATCCATCTTCCCTCCCAATAGTGGGATGAGTCCTAGTGGGGATTCTCCGTATCAATCGCATGCTGAAGATTTCCCAATATCTTATGATCAAATGACTTCATTCAATGAGTGCGAAGAAATTATGACAGACAGTCTTTCATCTTGTAGTTCTTTAAACGATGGAACAGAAACCCTTCCTTCAGATTATGATGATGATTCAATCATTGATGATACAAGCACCGATCATGAAGATCTTTCATCTATCGAAGACGTTCAAACCGCTCAACATCTTTCTGAGAAGTTCCCATTCGCCTTTCATCGTTTCCTCACCATGTTGAATGAATTGAATAAATATCAGAGTAGGGACTCGACTGTTGGGATCCTACTTGAATCCATCTTTTCTCTTCAGGAGCTCCTGATGCCACGAATCACTTCAATGAAACAATTGCCGAATGTGCGACTACTAATCTCCAGCTGGTGTTTCGATATGTTCTAGAAACACTGACTGAACTTCATAACTGCTATGGTATGCCTTTCACTTCAATTCTAACAAAACAAAGTCTTTCTGACCTTCAGCTTCTTCACCCGAATCCCTCACCAACAAGCCCGCTGTACCTTCCTACAATACTTCTATTCCCTCCGCTCCTTGGGGCGTTCCTCTTTCCTACCCAATTTCATCCACCGCATTCCCGTACAAGCTCCCGATCCCTCCTTTGAACGACCCACTAGGCTCCAATTCTGCAGCATCGACATTACAGTATCCCGTCATTCTTCCATCTGTGCCCTTCCCAGACCCGCATCAAAACTCAACCTCCGTCATTCCAATGGGACAGACGGGAATGATCCCCCAGGTTTCCACCTCAGCGAACCTTTCCTACCATCCATCCAAAATTGTTCTTTCCGAACCGAAGACATCAAATTTCATACCGAGGCCAAGCGTCTTTCTCTCACCACTTTGCGATTCAGTCGGACGAAGATGGAAAAAGTTTTCCGATTCACTCCATGTGATGTCGACATTCAACGATTGGGATGCCGCACAGAATAAGGGTGTAAATCATTCACGACAAAACGGGTGGACCGATGAATGCTGGGATCCTCCAGCAAGAGTGTCCAACAAATTCGAAAGACCCTTCAATTGTATGAAGCGAGTTTTGAATGATGAAGTGAATCAAATTGAGCTTTCAGAAATTCACAACGAATGTTGTGTCGGTATGTGTTGAATCTATCGTCGGTCTCCAGTGATACCTGATTTTTCAGGTGATGCTTTAGTGCTTCGACTTCTAAACAAGGATTGGTCTATTCAGCGCGATAATGAACAACTACCAGCAATCAAAAATCAGTGGCGTCTAGCGATGGCGTCCCTCAGTGAAGTTGCTATTCCTATGATACGGTGGATGTATCCGCGTAAGCCGTGGAAACTGTCTCTTTAGTGACTGTTGTTGTTTGATTCAGTTGCTTCAAGGTCTGAGTCTCAGTTTCCACACTATCTGACTCTTGACGGCCTTTGTCTGCTTCGGGCGTATTTTGTTGCACTTCTTAAACATGTGTGTTGATATCTTTCCATCCAAGACTCCTATCAGTTGTCCCTCAAATTTCAGAGTCCGAGTGGTTGGGCAGATGGGACTTCAACGATCCACTCCCGGTTTTCGTTCCGGGAATTGTTTTTGTCGGTTGCTGTATCTCTTTTACTTTCTTGTGATCTGGTACGTACACTCATCAGATCGAAAGCTCTTTTCTCTCTTGACGTGTCGCATATGTTCGGTCTTCTCTCTTAATTGAATTCCTTTCCCAGAATGAAAGCTGCGATTGCTCGATGGATCATCATATCCTCAATCGGCTGTGTTTGGCATCGCAAACGGTACGGTGATAATCACGTCGTCCCGTCGCATCGTTTTTCTTGGCAGTCTGATTTTTTCAAAGATGCTTCGGACAGCCACTCCAACTCCGAGACAACTTTCGATCCAAGCAGCAGCCCCATCTTCTCAACGTCGCGCGTTGGCCCCTCCATTGGAACAGTTGGTCAGAATTTGCAAGCGGATGATCATTCAGAATACACAGAAGTTTCGAGCAGCAAAGGAACAAATTCGAATCGTCATTCAGTACATGAAAGTGAACTATTCGGAGCGAAGAGGCTTGGTATTGAATTGAGACGCACACGATCAGCGATTTGTCGAAGAGTTTCTTGGTCCTTGTTGCGAAACGAATTGAGATTATGGATTGAAATCATCATCACTCGAATGGGAATATTACATGCACTCGAAAATACAACAGATGGTCATCATGGAGGGTTTACGTCCTTGTATTTCGATTGCGAATTGGAAGCATTGAAGGAATCAAATGCTGTGGACTATGTATTCAATCTGGATACAACGTGAGTGATTGTTTGTTGCTGGGTGTGTATCTCATTCATATATGATGATCACGTAGGGCTCTAGAGGTGGCTGTTAAATGTATCAAAAGTGTATTGAGAGGCGAAGGCAAAGATAATTGCAACAGTTGCATTGAGTCGTCGATAAAGTATCTCGAGTTCTTGTTGACGCGAGTGGTGGAAGGGATTCTCTCAGTAGCGACGACGGCAGCAACTGAACGATAGCGCGATGACGTATCTTTGAGTACCCCTGGATCTACATCGCTCATATTCTAGAGGAGTAAGTTGACCAAGGAACAGTTCCAAAATGGAGCATTCGAAGTGTATTGCGCTTCTGAAATCACAGGCAATGGATTCAGAATTAACACTGAAACGTTTTTGAGCTGATGTTGGACGGAAGTGTTGAAATGTGGAGATCGACAATATTGCTGACAGAATAAGCAGCAAACGAATGGAAAAAACCTCGACTAAACAACTCACGAAAGTAGTTCTCTTTTTAAGACTGATATCTTAAGATCTTGCGCCAGAACAACCCTGCAGCATCGCTGCAATTTCGCCAGTTGGCCCTCATGGCACTTGTCACCGTTCCTATACACATGCAGCCATTTTTCTACTTCTTCTAAGTCTCCAGAATCAACAATATGACAAATAAACCTAAGGTTGTTGGTGCAATTGATCAAGGCACCGTCAACACTAAGTTTTCTTACTTCGATGAGCGGATGCGCTTGTTGGCGTCCCACTCAGTGGACCATGCTCAAATATACCCGAAGCTGGGGTGAGCCATTTCATGATGTGAAGACCTTTTTGTCAAAAAAAACTCGTTCTAGATGGTTGGAACACAATCCGATGGAACTTTACGTCAATACGCTTAAAGCAATGTCCGTCGCGACGCACGAGCTGAAACTCAAATATCCGGGCGGTTTTGAAGTCGCTGCAGTCGGTGTTGTTAACCAGAGAGAAACTCTAGTTGTTTGGGATCGATCAACTGGTTTACCCCAGTGCAACGCGATTGTCTGGCTGGATATGCGAACAAATTCACTCGTGCATCATCTGGCAGAGAAGTATGGAGGAGTGGTGAGGCTTCATTTCCCAGTTTGTTCCAGTGTTGTTTTATTCTTCTAGGAAGCCTTTCGCGAAAAAACAGGCCTCCCTCTGGCGTCTTATTTTACGGGTGTCAAGCTGCTATGGTTGATGGAAAATCATCCGGACATTGCAGAACAATTGAGAAACAAGGAAGCGTTGATCGGCACAGTTGACTCCTGGTTGGTTTGGAAACTGACTGGTGGTGCAAATGGTGGCGTTCATATCACTGACATTACCAATGCATCACGTACTATGTTGATGGATATCAACACCATGACATGGTCGACCGAGATGCTCCGGTAAGCAGTAGCACTTGATTATGTCCCTGTGGATCGAATCCTCTCTATCCATATTACGTATCGATGGATGATACATATCTTCGAGGGAGAAGATTCCCAGACATATCGCCGATGGTTTTCTCTCTCTCAGAATTTTTCGCTCCTGGAATGTCGAAGCGATGTCTTCCCAAAATTGTTTGTAACGCTGAAGTCGTCGGACAGATGAAGGGGAATTGGAATTGACGAACTTGAGAATGTGTCAATCGCAGGGGTCGCTGGTGACCAACAAGCTGGATGTTTGGGACATGGAATGTATCATCCTGGAGATGTCAAAGCCACGTATGGATTCATGATTGTCGAACTATTTTAATGATTTCTCCTTTCAGTTTTGGAACTGGCGCCACGGTCATGATGGTAACAGGCAAAGGATCTCCAGTGACACCAAGACGTGGTTTGATTGCCACCCCCCCTCTTCCAACTCACTCGTAGTGATCCTGTATTTTATGCTCTTGAAGGGTCAGTCGCTATTGCTGGGGCCGCGTTGACGTGGTTGAAGGACAATCTTGGTGCCTTAGAGACTCCTGAAGAGACTGAAGTAGGAACGATACAGATCTTGCGAAAGACACCCAACAGATCCTGCGACATTCCCTTCTGTTTCAGACCCCTTTTGAATGAAGTTCAAGACACTGGAGATGTTTATTTTGTTCCTGCTTTTGCGGGACTGTTCGCTCCTCGGTGGAGAGCTGATGCACGAGGCTGTATTGTGGGATTGACGCAGCATTCAACAAAGGCCCACATTGTTCGCGCTTTAATCGAATCAGTCGGCTTCCAGCTTGCTGAGGTTCGCATTATCTCGTTACACCGGAGCCAAATCCTGTTTTGGAATATTTTTAGATTCTTGAAGCCTTGAGGAAAGATGCGGTGTCTTTCCAGGACGAACCAGTTACGATTCGTGTCGATGGAGGACTTTGCAAAATCGTTCCGTCGTCCGGACAAGTTATTGCGGACATCACCGGACGAACAATTGCTATGCGAAAGAACGTTGAAGTCACCTCGTTGGGAGCCGCATTGCTCGCTGCTGGGGGAATTGGACTTATTTCCAAAGACGAACTTAAGGTGAGTAGTTATCTAATATACCTAAAGTATATCTAATATAAGACCTGCTATTCTAGGAGCTGGTTAAAGGAATGGAGACATTAGAGTGGGTTCCCAAATTGAGTTCTGATGAAAGAACAGCGAAAACAAAGCGATGGGAGATGGCAGTTGAAAGTAGGTTCCTTATCGTGATGTAGAATCTTCGTAAAATTTCATCATCAGGGTCTCTGGATGGGAGGAGATTGAGGAGGAAATGGAGGGTCTCAATACATATGGTGATCGACATCTCTCAATCGATTCTGCCAATTGATCTTCCATTGGAACGAGCTCGTTTGGATACTGTTGAAACGATGAGTGCTCCTTCGACTCCCGACACGAAGAGTCGCCCCTCTATAGATAATGTGTTGTAAGAAGATCATTTATGCCAAACAGAGTGTAGCATATATTTCCGTCGTATCCGATCTGCGTTCCAAGACGGGGTTTTCGCCCACAATTAGAAGACAAGGAACACCAATCTTGTAACGCTGATTGTAAATGTGAATAGCCTGCGTCAATTCTTTTTTTTTTGCTTCAATTTTCTTTCCAGTGACAAATTTTTCATCATTTATTGTACACTTTTCGACCTATTTTTTTTGTTTGGAACTACCGAGTTGAAATCTACCATCTCTATCTGCTTCAATTTGGGACTCTCTAACTTCTTCAATTTACGACCTTCTATCTTCTACAGTTTGGGGCTTTTTATCTCTTACAGTTTGGGACTTTCTATCTTCTTCGATTTGGGACTTTCTATCTTCTTCGATTTGGAACTTTCTATCTTCTTCAATTTGGGACTTTTTAATCTTCCTCCTCTTCTTCAGTTTGCTCCCCCGAGTCAGCTGAGAAAAGTGTAAAGAAGAATTCCTAGAAACGTGGCAAATCCACTCACAAGGAGGTAACCAGCTTTTGCTCAAATAGCCGTCGTTTTCGGCACATTTCTTCTTCTCTTCGTCACGTCGAACTCCGTCTTCCTTTTCTGCTTGAAGCATGGCGTTCTGAACTTGAACGACTCGTTCAGAAGTTGATCCGGATTCTTGGTAGGCGGTAAGTGCGTGCCTAACAAAATTGAAAAAATGGAATTTTCGACACAGAGTGACCTACTCATTGAGCAAAAGAAAATTGGGACCCCATTTAAAGACTGAAAGCAGATCCTGAGCAGCATCTTTCATATTCTGAAAAATCCCACTGAAAATCAAAAATGCAAAATTGCTCACTACAATGGTTAAAGCGGCAGCCAAAGCCTCGACGCATGACAATTCATATGGTCGACCGTAATGAGCGGGATTTGCAAGCAACCAAATAGGGCACTGAAAAGAAGGCACTGAATGAAGTGTTTTTTAACCACTTCCTACAAAGTCGTTCGCGTCCGGTGTGAAGCTTCTTGAAGGGAATTTCGTCGAGGCGATTCCAGGAGCAATCAACCACGCAAAGGCCTCTCTGTTGAATTGTTTCTTCTGCGTCGCTCAGGCTTAACGTTTGAGTCGCTCTCGGACTACAAACAAAAATCCATTAAAAATCTTGTCAACCTCATCTACCTTAAAATAATTCCGTGAAACTTCTGACTCGTTCGATACAATCGCACTTTTCCCAATCGACATAATTTTCGTCCACTACATTTTTTTGAGTCGCATTGTCCAAAGTCCCACAATCCCAGTATAACACTTCGATGTTTGCTGCACTCATCGAGACGAATATCTTCTTCTTCGCTGCTGCTAGGTTCATCATCATTCACTGATTCTCGCCTCTCGCTTCTTTCCCTTGGGAGATTTTCAGGAGGCCATTCATCCTCTGCATCGCATTCCTTCCACTGCGTTCTCCTTTTGGGTCTTCCAGCACTTCCCCGATCCAACTCACGATGGGGTGCCATCGTCCCCCCAGTACAGGACCAGAAGAAGCAGTCATGTTTAGGGAAAGAGGGTTCCGATGCTGAAGAGTGTTTCGAGTCGTCAGATGAAGATAAGGATTTGCGCGAGACTGTTCTGAAGCTGCAGAGGGAACATTTTTCAGACGGTGTGGTTCAGGAGACGGAGGATGAGGCAATTTCAGAAAGAGTGGAAAAGTCAGAAGATCCAAAAGTAGAAGAAGTTGTAAAAGTTGATGCAAAAGTTGTTTTGCCAAGCGTTTCAGAATTGTTCGCTAATGTGCCTAAAGAGTTCATTCGGGTTGACGTTAAGCATCAGAAGTCGAAGAAGGAAACTCGAACGACTCTGGATCGCGTTCCCGCTGTTCTGTCGAGCCCCGCCGTAGCTGCTGAGCCTGCAGCTGCATCTATCAAGGCCATAGGATTGCCTGAAGAAACGTGGCATGTGCCTTTGAGTGCATTCGATGTTATGAAGGCTAAGAAGAAAACGCTAGAAGAAGAACGAAGAAAGAAAGAGAGAGAAACGCGAAGAGTTGCACGTGAAACAAATATGGTGAAGAGAAGAGTGGCAAGTGAAATGGACGACAAGAAGCCAACTATAAAAGATAGAGAGAAAGCAAAGAGACAGAAAGGTCAAAGTTCCCATCAGTCATGGAAACCGGAGGTGTGGATGAAAATGAGGCAAGAGTTTGACTGAAAAGGATCCCGATTGGGACTTTGGATTCGTCTGTTTTTGGTACTGTTTTGGGACAAGTAAAATAGTTGAAATCCATCATGACGATAAAAACAAATTGAAAAGGGAATCCATTATTTGTTTTCATTCGAGTGAACCGTCCCACAGATTCGACTGCTTTGATTTCTGCCAGAGAGAGCAGCTGCTTGTAAGGTCGCTTGGCTCGCCTGCAAATAGACCAGATACGAAGGTTGTTCTTCCAAGCTTGTTCCATACCTGTTCATTAAAAGACTCTAGATGATAGGATTTCGATAAATGGATCCAACAATGATGTAGAAATGGAGCTAGTCGGAGAGCCATTCTGAGCGCAAGAGTTGTCCATACAATTTCTCAATTATCACTAACGTTAACTCTTTCTGTGACGAAATCAATACTTTTTGATGAAGATATTGCAACCCTTTGATCCAATGCACGATCGCTGCGAGAAAGAGATAAATGTCTGGTGACATCACGCTCGACGATTCCCGCTTTCCGGAGAGAGTTGCTGGTTGGCGTTGAAGATCTCTTAGAACAGATTGATTGATGTTGATCTTCGCCAGAGTGCATCGAACAGAAGAGGGATGTTCTTCACATTCAATCTTGAGCGTCATCAAAGAGGAGTAAACCAATGGAACGGATGAGAGACAGACAAACGCTTCGACGGATTGCAATCGTCTGAGTTGAGCAGCTTGAATCAACGGCGCCACATATCGAGAACGTTGAGTGCTAATGGCATGACGGAGATAAATGGCGAGTGAATGCTCGGAGGGAGTATCGCTCGCGAAGAATAGTTGAGAGAAAACACCTACAATGGTAAAAGCGAATGACGATGGATGAATTCAAAAATGATTGCCCTCGCCTGCTTCATAATGAAGAAAATTTAGTTTGATTCACAAAAGATGTGGATTCTCTGGTACAATTGTATCTATCACTCGACTTGCCTTGATATCCATCATCATTTCCGAGATCGCCAGAGAGCATCAGAAATTCCTTTAATATGAAAGAATGCGATTCGACGCTCAAATATGGTTTCAGTCAAACTCACCGAAAGAAGAAGGGAATCATCATGAAAGAACGAAGTCCCCTTTGAGTTTCTCATTTCACGCTGGCTGACTTTTATAAAGTGCTTGATTCCGCGAAATGTGCTCATCATTTCTTCGTCTTCTCGTTGATTAAATTTTGTTTCCAATTTCAGAAAATTTTCAGTTGTCTTCAATTCTCGTTGAGGTAAGCATCGGAGCAAGGAGTTCAAACAGAAATATAATAATCGAGGCCAGTAGAACTCAATCGTTGCTCTAGAACTCGATTCGAATTTCAATACAACCGTCTTGTCATCAATCGCTTCATAACGAAGAGGATGAAGTGATGGCTGCATATCACATGACGACTCATCTTCATCAGTATACGTCACTTCATTAATGGTCTTCAAATCGATACCAAAAAGTTTCAACAGAGTCTCTTCAATGAATCCTTTTGCTTCGATCCACGACCCGATCGAAATCTAACGAGAAAGCAAAGGTAAGGAGGTTTTTGATTCGATTACCCAAGATTTGGCCGCCAAACAGCACAACGCCTCCAACTCAGCCGATTGCCTTTTTTCCTTTCTCTGTTTTTCAATCAGTGCCAATGTCGCTCTCAAACACTCTTCGTACATTCCGCTTTTATCGAGAATGTCGACTATCATTCTTTCGGCGTTGTCATCGCGACGATCTTTACAGGAGTTGGGATCCTTGTGAGAGATGGGATCCTTGTGAGAGATGGGATCCTTGTGAGAGATGGGATCCTCATGAGAGATTGCTGTTTTGTTTCGACTTTTCTCTGCTTTGCTTTCATCAACAGAGCCATCAATAGAACTGGAGAAATTTTTCAAGTACCACAAAGAACTATCAAAATCACACACATCCAGAGAATTAAGGAACTCCTCTCGCATCCACATCTGAGGATTTCAAAAGGAAGCATTCTGGTCCAGGAATTTCCTTAAGGTGTGTGACATGGAACACGAAGACTCCAAAAACTATCATACACTTGCTGGAGAAAAGCACTCGCTCCCCGTCGTGGCACAACATTACGGCGACTGTGGGTAGAAATAGTTACAGTTGTTGACACGAGCTGGATGATGATGCGGAGTCTGTTTGAACGCAGATGTCAAGAAAACTGAACAAGCTCGTGTGAAGAAAGAAGTTGCCGAAGAAGCAAAAGAGGGATGCCGAGTTGAGATTGATGACCTCATGGATTGTCAAGTACGAGTCGGTGATTTCTTCGCGATGTGGCGATGCAGAAATGAAGAAGCTGCTCTGTTTCAATGCGAACGTCGATTCAAAGACAGATCTCAAATCAAGAAAAGAGAAATTGAACTATTAGAAGCCCGTCAACAACAAGGTAGGAAGCAATGAATGACTCTGCCATCAGCACTGTCATATGTGTCTCAACGTTGTTCTGTGTTAGGTGTCGGCGCATTAGCAGAGTACTCTAAAAACTTTGCAGGCATCTCCGGTCTGGAGTGAGTTCCGTTGAGAATGCTTTTTCTTCATGCGTTCCATTATTTCAGAAAAAAAGAACCTCTACAGGGCTCTGCTCATATTGATGGATTGGAAGTTGATATCGCTCCACAGCAAGACCTCAGAATAAAAGCGCTTGTAACGGAGATGTTTGGTGTTGGAGACTATTCGAGCCAGTTTGTTCGTGCTGTCCAAAAAGACATCTCGAGATACGGAAACCCCTTGAACAAGCGAACCACCAGAAGACATGAAGGAGAGGCATTGGAGCGTTTTAGTTGAGACCCTTTTCAGTTCTCTGAGGCGGGCAACAGGAAAACGGGGAATAGAGACGCTCAGGAAGATCCACCTGGTTCCAAATCTATTCAATAATCTATTTAATACTCTTCCCTTCTTCAAGAACTTACTTCTTGAATTTTTTTTGCATGGATCCTTGTATC